ATGTCCTCATTTAAACTCGTATCCTTAAAGAACTGTAAAGATTTTAAAAAAATGATGTCCTATGCATTTTTTTTAACATATAAAAACCCAACTTCCAAATTAAGTGCAATACTAAGGTTTCAAAATCGACCTGCCCCTACTGTGGAATGTCAGCATCTGATTATATCATTATTTTATCCTCGGGTCAAATGCAATATATATTTTAGATTTTGCCGCTGCTAAAATTCCTCAAAAGATGCAGTTTCCGTTATTTGATACAGATATTTGTGTATGATTTTGTAGCGCCAGTCCACCAGTTTCGAAAATATATGGCCCTTTAGTATCAAGAGGGTCCTTAAAGGAAACATTTCTTTTCCGAACATTCTTGCGCAGGATCTAATGACCTTAACTCTGTCTCTCTCGTCAAGCTTTTCTGGATGTATGAAAAGCTTTGTCACTGTTACTGTTATAAATTATAAATTATCATATATATATATATATATATATATATATATATATATATATATATATATATATATAACAGAGGATGTTTGTGTGTCAGTATGTCTGTGTGATACCATTTCACTCGAGATCCATTCAACCGATTTGGACGAAACTTGGCATGTACAATTTAAGAGATAGGTCCTTAGCGTAAAAAATCAATAATTTTAAAAAATCAATAATCGATAAAGGAGATCAAATATCGATAAATTCAACTTTTTTCCGATTTCGTTCAAATTCCCTATGTAGGCTATTTCCATCATGACGATCCCAACGATAACTTATTTTTTATTTCTAAGCCACTACGTTTAGCGAAAAACCGCGAAAAAAGAGAAATTGATTTCAACACAAATCAATTTCAACTGTGGAATTTCAACTTTTCAAATTCAACTGTAAAATTACAATTTTTTCAACTTTGCAAATTTTGAACTAAAAGCTCCGTCATTTTTCAAGCAATTTAATACGAAACTCACTCAATTTTCATCAACAATAAGTCGATTGTTTAACAGTAATTTAACTTAATTGAGCCCGTCCATATAGTGAAAACACGCGTAGAGAAAAATGGCGATTTTTACTGGTTCCTTTCTTATTTTTCGTTGATTTTTCAACCAATTTTCAACAAAGTTAACAATTGATTTATAAATGTATCCTCTTTTACATCCCTGATGGCATACTGACAAATTGGATTTCAAAAACTCTAATTGTATTCTGAAGTGGGTCTTCGTGTTGCCTGTTTTACCCCTCCATGTCGTCAGTTAAATTCGATTGAATAAATACTGACAATTTCTGTTATATCATTAATTTAAAATGTTTCTTTTTTAAATGAAAGTACTTTAAAGTAATTGAAGAAGATAGAGTCTGTTAAATCTAAACATGATTCTGTTTTTGTTCGATGCTAATTAAACGCTTTTTTCTGATCGACAGCTGGATATGGCTGCTGGTTTACAATAATAAAAGTGTGTTCCATGTCCGAAAGCTTTTTCTGTATGCCTTTCCCGTCTTTATTAGTTAAGGGATATCCCGGACAATAACATTTGGGCGGGGTTTTTTTATACTACTACTACTACTATTAAACGAGAATATCGTTCATCGTATCATACCCACCAAACTATTAAATTATTAAAATGTCGTTTAGATAGCATTTTAAACAATTATTCACAGTTTTGTGATTTGGGCTCTCTTTAAGAAGTGATACATATTTGATAACAATGATAATAGTGATGTTAAGTCTTATCTGTTGAAGCTGATCATGACTCCCGTTGTAAGTGTTTCACTAATAAGATTCTGGTTTGCAGAGGATTTAGATGAAGTAGTGGTAACACAGGCTTTGCACGCTATGTGTTTCTGACAAATTTTGGCAATTCTGATTTCTGTTGCATTCATCTCTTTTGGGATTTTAATTCTCTACACAGGAAAGTTCTAGGTCAGGTTGTTGTAACCTGACATCTAATCAAAAATCAGTTGTGTAGTGGTCGTTATGCTTGATGGCGCAGTTCGAAAAAGAGGGGCATGTTTATGAGGGCTGAAACACTTGTGTTATTAAAATAGTCTCTGGAAAGCAGAATGCGTAGAAATATATATTGTGTTTTATTTTGAACCAGGAAGAAGGGACATTGAATTTAAAATGCAAATCGAAAACTTTATAATGAATAGAGAGGCTGTTATTTTTGCTGCTTTTCTCTCCATACGCCTCTTGGACAAAATACATTTTACGGACCTTTCTCCGGCTCTCGATCATTCTGTCATTTCCGGACTACATCTGGACTCTGGGAGATGTCTTCAGGTATACCTTGAAGATTTAGATCTGTCCAAGGACTGTCCAGTTGCGAAGGGCGAGTTTGCTATGCAACAGTTACTTTGATAGACATTTTAGCACTGCTGTAATATACGAGGGTAAATTGAAATATTACCCACATTACTAACATTACGTTAGTCATACTGCTTTCTGCACATGCGCGCTTATAGCTGGCACTATTCAGGTCACGTGATCGAAGTTTCCTTGTTTCTATGACAGTGTAAACATGGCCGCTCCGCATGCAGTGTGCACCAAGGAGGAACAAAGAGCAGTGATCCGATTTCTCTTGTCAGAATGTGTGTCAAGGGCAGAAATCAATCGTAATCTTTTTACATAATACGGCGACAGTGCAGGACTTCGTAGAAGGGAGTATGGATGGATTAAGAAGTTTAAAAATGGCCGCCCCGGGGAGGGGGCATGAATAAGGAGCAGGATGATCATCGACCTCTATCACTGACATGTTAATGGCGATGACGTGCCATGTTCTCTGCAGGGTAAAATCACTGCTCTTTCTTCCTCCTGGCTGCACACTGCTAGGGGAGCGGTTATGTTTACACTGTAACAGCAGCAAAAGAAAAAAAAACTGGTGCGACCAAGCTCAAACTTCGATCACAATACCATAGTAGTAGCGTCTATTAGTAAACCCGAGCAAAAGGCAGTGTGACAAACGTGTAGTTATGTCAGAGGCGGATACAGTGGTGCTTAGAGGGTGCAAGCTCCCACTAACATTTCTGAGAAAATATTTTCGTTCTTCATCTTTTCGCATTTAGCGGTGTGTCTGCCTGTTCTTTTGAGCGAGGAAAATCATCCTTGAAGTTGCTAAAAAATTGAAAGATACGATCAATGAATGCAGACAGATTTAAAGTGCTTGTTCTTTGGTATAGTCACAAAGACACTGAATTAGACTAGGATAAAATCGTGAACTTTTATGCAAATAAGAATTCGTGAAAATTGACTTTAGTAAATTCTCTTTCATAAACGCTTTATAATCACACTTTAAATGTAAGAGGTTTGCATTTACAATTTTACATATCAAATAATTAAAACAAAACTCTCTCTCTCTCTCTCACACACACACACACCACACACACATATATATATATATATATATATATATATATATATATATATATATATATATAATTAAAATGGTAATCTGTATGGAATTTCCAAGAGGATAAATATTCAAGGAGAGCAGTATGTCTGAGACAGAGCCAAATAATTTAAAATTTGACCTGTATTTGTTATGAAGGTCTGAAAGATAGAAAGGCTATTTTTATGCTTTTCATGAAATAAAGATTATTACCTATGTTATTTTAAGTGTTTGGTATTCATTTATATATTCATATATATATATATATATATATATATATATATATATATATATATATATATATATATAACTCTCCCATCGAATTTGACGTATGAGGTTAAAGCAGATCAGTTCCCAAGAAACCGACAGCCCGACAACAGCACATGAGATTTGATTATAGTGGTGAAGGTTTCGTGCAGGACCATCCAAACTGTTTGAAGGGCCGAATACAGAGACCTGGTGCACTACGTGCCACAGGGACCCCAAACGAACTTCCGGAGTTTTTGAATTCAAAGTTTTCCTTCTCCTAGACCAGTTGCCATCCAAGGCTACAGAAGCTGTAAGGAGAAGAAGAGGATTCATACCTTTCCCAAGGGTATTAGCACGTAAGTGAATGTAACTGGATTCTACTGGAATTCGAACTCGGCTCTCCGATTCCTCATATATATATATATATATATTAAGGCATGTGTTATTAAAGACCTCGGAACAATTCTGCTTGATGATCTTTTTCTCAGTTTTTTCTCTCAAGTTTATTAATGTCCAGGTTGTTAACGTAGAATCGCAGTCGATATCTTTCTGCGAGCGCTTTCGATTGACCATAGACGTCATCATGGGTGATTAATTTTTATAGATAATATTAGACGATATTATTGGGTTAGTTCATCATTGGTAAGGAGAGGATTGATGTTTTTTATTGGAGTATTAGTTATATTAGTTTACACACACACACACATATATATATATATATATAAGAACATTTTCTCTAATTTCTGTAATTTTCTGATTCAAAATATATACATAGAATAGACTTAACTGATATGTAAGATATGATAAGAAAGCAAGGTTGCAGTGTTTTATTTGATAGTGAAAACATTATATACCTTAGTTTTATTATGAAAAAAATCAGGTGGCAAATATGTATAAAGAATGTAATAGTATACTTCTTCTCCTCTGGGTCGTTTCCCTTAAAGTTTTCGTGGCCATATCCCTCCACAGTTTCTTGTTATATGTTGATTTTAGTAAGGTTTGTCTTATATATTCTCTACTCATTTCTTTTATAATATAATATATATATATATATATATGATCACAGAATTTAAAAGTTTGAGTTGAAATTTTTACTGACGAACACACCCTCTCTAACTGAAAAATGCTGGATCCGCCTTTGTTTGGCGAATGTGTGGGTAATTTTTGATTTATCCCTGTATGTATGTTTTCGTGGTTTTGCCTGACTAGAGGATGAGAAATCGAATCATTTCAGCATGGGATCGCACGGTGTCTGCGAGTGGGTACGTGATCAAGTCCCCCGGTAAATTTTTCAGGATCAAATCATGGAGCGATCGATAGTTGAAAGATGGAATTCAAGATTCAAATATTCGATGGAGCATCTTATATTTGGCATCTGCACATATGGGCAGAAGGCAGGATCTTCCCAAAATGGAAATCTGTACGAGTTTCCGCGAAAGCGTGAGAGTATACTTAAAATCTACTTAACACATGACAACTACTGGAGTTGACATTGCCATGTCCTTACGCTGTTAAGCTTGTTCGAGAGTTGTCCGAGCCCTGCCGTAGTTTCTATCATCTACAGCTGTCGGCGTTTTCCAGATACTGGCTTAAAGCAGAATTTTACAATTCCCAGCCACCCACCATAACATTGAGCAGCGCATAGAATATTAATACCGCCGGCATTTTCGGTGGCCATCTGATACCCTGGAATAAGTCGATCAACGAGAAGTGGCAGCGACAAAACTTGGAAGGACATGTCTGTGTTCACCTTGAGCGAATTTCGTTTTTTTTTTTTCAAAGATTAAGAAAATTTTGTAAGATTTCAATTTAGATATTGTGTATCTTTCTTTCGTTCTCCGTCTCTCTCTCTCTCTCTCTCTCTCTCTCTCTAAATACATTTCTCTCCGTCTCTCTCTCTCTATCTCCCTTTCTCTCTCTCTCTCTCTCTCTCCATTTCTCACTTTCTTCTGGTATTGGTTCACGAGAATATAATTCCGTGTCTTTTACTTGCATCCATCTTGGTTTCTATCAGAATCAATATGGCTTACCAAAATTATTACCAGATTCTTGCGTTAGAAGCTAAGCACGACTCGAATCATCCTGCAAGGTCGATTATGTCTGCTGTTTCTGATTCCAAATTAATTCATAGAATAGACTTGTCTGTTATGTAAGACATGAGGAGAAAGAAAGGTCGCAGTGTTTAGTCTGACATTAAAAAAAATTACATATCTTAGTTTTATTATAAAAATCAGATGGCAAATATGTATTAAGTATCTACTAGTGTACTTTTACTGTGGGTCGTATCCCTTAAGGATTTGCTGGCCATAGTTCTACACAGCTTCTTTTTGTCTGTTGTTTTAGTAATGTTTCTCTTTCTTCTAATCAAAATGATTACTGTTCTCTCAATAATATACAAAAGTTCATTTGGTAGATTATTTGTAGCTTCCCTCTGCCTCCCTTGCCTTTAATATATCATGTGAGTATAAAATGGCAATCTTTTAATATTTTTATTAATCGGTATCACCCCAAGCAAGGCAGTACAGCCACTGTCACGCAAGGGGTTGCAGGGCGTTGAGAAATTAGGAACAGAAACATTATTAATGAAAAGAAAGGGAAAAAAAGAACCAGGACAGTTCATAGCGATTGGTATTGCATTTAAACTTTCGCAGATTAAAGTTGCCTGGAAAGCATGTGGCCGGAAGTGAGTTCCACAGTTCGAGAGGGGAGAGAAAAGAAGCACAGCACAGAAGTTATGGCTACATTTAGTTGGCTCAACTCTGAATTGGTGAAATCTCGCAGTCAGTATTGCGCTTAAATACATACAGTCTAGGTACCACAGAGAAGATCTCATAGAAACAATTACCATGAAAGTATGTATAAAAAAGGCATAGAAAGGCAACATTACGCCGATGGGCAAGTGACAGAAGCCATGCCGCCTGATCAGGACCAGTAATATTGCCGATTCCTTCTTTTTTGGGATCTTATCCAGGAGCTCTAGGTAAACAGCAAGGACACCGGACCATATTTGGCAGCGATATTCTAAGCATGGACAAATGGTAGACTTATAGATATGCAAGATAGATTCAGAAGATAAAAATTGTCTTTACAGTGAACTAACAAGCAGCTGACCTACTAATAAATTCAATATAGTCTTTCCAATTCATGTCAGCTGAGAACTTTAGCCTGAGGAGGCGCAACGAATCACTTTCCTGCAGAATAGTATCAGCCATCCTGATGGGTCACTCAGATTATTGATGGAGATAGGTGTCGTTTTGGAGGCGTTAAAATTGACAAGCCATGCTTTGCTCCAGTTAGCGACGGTCTTGAGTTTTTTGGACATCGGCTTCCATTTTGATCTTATGGGACTGACCAGCCTTACTATTGAGGCAAGAGTAAATGGGGGTGTTGTCAGCGTAGATGCTATCAGGAATGTTGTTAATGAAGATGGAGCTCCGCCTTAGAATGAAAGGATATAGATAGTTGGCCGCTCAGGACATAAATTCATGTCACGATTTCGTAAGAACGACAGGATCAGCTCAAAAATGTGCCCGAAGATACCGTAACTTTTCAGTTTGTGGAGAATACCTGGATGCCAGATCCTGTCAAAGGCTTTCGATATGTCCAATGCTACAGCCCTGGCTTAACTGTTTTTATATCGAGCGTGATAGACTCATTCTGCAATTATCATTATTACATCAGCAGTTGATGTGGAAAATCGAAAAACGTTTTCTGAGAAAACTCCCTGCGATGAGAGATGAGGAAGCAATTCAGCATTGAATAAGGCCTCTATATTCTTCTCAAAAAGATGTAGTGGAATAAAAAGTTGGTAGTTGAATGGGTCGAACGGTTATGTGCTTTGGCAGCCGAGTATGTTGGTGTGAATCATGAAGAGGATTACGGTTTCAATTCTTATTTTCGAAAAGGGATCAAAGCTTTGACCCCCAGAAGAAACCTCAGTGGTGCAATTTTCAATTGGAAGGTTGAAGGAGCGTCACGAAGACAATCCTGGAATGAGTCGCAGTCAGATTTCTGAGATATTATGAATAGGGGGTGTTCTTGTTTAATGGATGCTTGGAAGGAAATATCAATAATCTACCACGGAGTGTTCCGACTTACCTAGAGAGCAGTATTGCGAAGCTCGGCAAGAGAGAGAGAGAGAGAGAGAGAGAAATAGAGATAGAGGGATATATATATATATATATATATATATAGAGAGAGAGAGAGACAGACAGACAGACAGAGACAGAGACAGAGAGAGACAGAGAGAGAAAATAAATCCAGCAGAGAAGCCTGTTACTCGGTTTGGCTAGGGAAACGAGTAGCGACGTCCATGATTTGAATGCGGGATTTGCTTATTTTTGTCAGTTTGCTGAAATGAGCCTCAAACACTGCCTGATGAAATTTACTCCTTGTCTGAGTTGGATTATTCGGAATTTGAAAAAGTCGATCATTAAAATTAATAGACAAAAAAATGTCTATTGTTTTTAACCATTTCCCAACCAATCATTTTGGAAAAAAAAAACGTTTAATTTTCACACGAATTTTTTATTTGTCTTTAATATAGTAATTAAGAAACTAACGTATCTTGAAGTACCCGAGCGATGGCTAATACCCTCTACCAGACGCATGAGTTGGACCCGTTTTAAGCTCAGAAGAGCATAAAAAAATATATCAAGATCATCCTACAGACACGTCGGGAGCCGGTTTTTGGGAGCCTGTTTTTGAAAATTATGTGTTTATTTGTCCATGTCTGTAAAGACACTTTAGGTAAAAATTGATGATTTACATTCTCCAATGAATCCAGTTTTTAACTAAAAAAAAAAAAAATGTGAAAGAAAATTTAATTTCTCAAAATTTCATAAAATTAAATAAGTTGGCTGTGGTATATGTAATAAAATATTTTTACCAAGATTTTCTAAAGTAAAAAAAAAATCAAACGTAATTTCATTCTTTTGTGAATAAGTTGTGAAAGTTTCATTAAAAAACAACAATTATTTGATTTTTGCAAGATTTTCCAAAATTTCGAACGTGCGAAAGGTTCCAAATTTTTTTTAAAATAATAAAAAATACTTTGGTCTTTCCTCTTGATAATAACACACATTTTAACTATAAAACTTTGTTTTTTATTAAGTTTTGAGCCTTCTTTTTATCATGCAATGCTGTTTCCTTCAGCGACCAAATGGGGAAACCTAATTTAAGTCCTTTTATTCCAAATTATATTGTATTTTAAATAAAGGATTTTCAAACAGCTTATTCTATTGCTAATTTTACTCTATTTTATTATTGTTGCTTTTTAGATCAAGCATTTCCCCCTTAATGTTTTATAACTTGTTTTAATCCATCTTATTATGGTTGTTTTTTAGATGATGTATTTTAGGTATGATGAATTTATTACTACTTTGGTTCTATCTTTTTTTCTTAATACTTATATTAACTAATAGCACAATTAATTTTATGTTGTTAAATTTATTATTTTTATTTTGTTTTTCAGATGAAATATTTTATTACTTTTTTACTCAATCTTTATATTGCTCCTTTTTTGATGATGTGTTTTGGTATTATTGCTTTATTGGCTTATGGAATGTCACGTTGAAAAACCGGTTTCCTGTATGACCCCCGTAGTTAAGCAAAGTCGACCCTGGTCACTACCTCGATGGGTGAGGGCTTAAGAATACCAGGTAGTGTCAATTTGGATATATACTGTGGGAGGTTAATGAATAATTGTTCACAATTGTTAATCGGCGAGCCGAGATCGAATTCCGTTGTGTCCGTTATATTCCCTTACGTGTTAATACCCACTGGAAAACATATGGATCCATCTCTTCTTCCCCCAGATATAGGTTAATTAATAAGACTTGTATCACTAAATAATTATTATCTAAAAAAAATCGTACAATCTAAAAAATATCTTTTGGCTTTAAGTAACTTGCAAAGGGTTGATAATCCGTCGAAAAGGAATAAATCAGTAATTATTGTTTTTTTTTTATGTTTTACTCTTTTTTATTATTGTTACAGTTTAGATATAATGACGTATCTAATTAGTCTTTTATTGCTGGTTTTCTTCCATCATTTTTTACTTCCTTTTTAGATGAAGCATTTTCACGGCGAGTATTTTATTACTAGTTTTACTCCATCTTATTATTGTTGCTTTTAGATGATTATTTTTGTGTTTCTAATTTATTTTCATTCTTATTTTTAGATGAAGTATTTAATTATGATTTTCGGAAAGTTATTAATTACTCTTGCAAAAGGTATGAATCCAAGACTTCTCCTCCCTCCAGCTATGGATAAATAGTAAGTCAGACTGGGTTCTATAGCTTTGGGTAGTAACCGGTATAGAAGAAAGAAAACTCTGAATTCAAAATTATCTATCTCTGGAGAAACACATGCTATACAGCTAAGGAAAGAATTGTTCGAAAAGACTCGACGATCTCGACTTCAATCGACTTCTTAACAGACTGAATTCTATAATCTTAGTTGCCAACCGGTCTAGGAGATAAAAACTATGTATTCAAAACTATGCAGATAAGGAAAGGATTGTTCGCGTTGATTCGATTATCCCGGCTACGATCGATATTATAATATATTAATAATATTATAATAATTAATGTTATTTTATGGCGTCCTTAGCTCTTATTATTTCATTTACTCTGTTTCACCCAATTTCATTATTATTGCTTTTCAGATTAAGAATCTTACTACAGTGTAACCCGGATATTGTCGGGACCGGAGAAGAAGTCTCTTATATCCGGGTTTCTCTTATATCCGGGTTTGGTCTATTTTGTTTAGGTAAGTATGGCTTTAATTTGGGACCAGAGAAAATCTCTCTTATATCCGGGTTTCTCTTATATCCGGGTCTCTTATATCCGGGTTACACTGTACTAGTTTTATTCTATGCTATTATTACTGTATTCGTCCCACCTTTGCGGATCGATATATTCTTCACTTACCAAACTAATCGGAAACAAATCGAAATAAATCGGGATCTCATTACTG